ATTGCCGTATTTTATTTGCCTCATTCTTCTTCAAGGTCATGCAGCCTAAACCCAAAACCTCATATACCTCTACTCCTCCCACACCCCTTTGCTGGAATTATGAGTTCCTTCTGCAGTTCCAACTTCCAGCCTCCAACAAGGTAGAACCCAATTTGCTAACAGAACAACATTAACCCAAAAGTCTCAGATACCCTTTACCGGAGGTCCTCAAATCATGTTGCCACCTCAGGCCTCACCGCTGTTAAACCACCCTACAGAGATGCTTCCCAATTTTTAGGGGAAATATTGTGTCATGATTTGAGGGACAAAAAATGGTTTTAGTTGTCATTCTTCTGAAATTGGACTTAATTTTCACAATGTACTTTAGCTGAACCCATGGTCTGTTGTGCCATTAATCTGGCAGGTCCCTGGGCCCAGAAATTCATAGCATATGGCTCTGCACTTTTCATTTTTGTCCTCCTGATTTCCCCATCTACAGAGACCTCTCTCATCCGCCTACTTTATGACATCTCCAATCCCATTCTAAACTAGAAATAAATATTTTCCAGAGATAATTTCCTGTCACTGAGTTTCTCAAATAATTCTTCGTTACTCTAAGGTATTTCGATTCAGCTAAAAGCTAGAATATATTGTATGGTAGAGCACCAAACTAAGAATGATGCACTAGTATAAGAAAGAAACCTTGATCTGAAATAGTGAAAAATCCACGAGAAAAAACCAAAAGCCAATCTACATACCAGTCCATAAACATTTGGTGCATGCATCGATCGTAGAACTTCTGGAGCCATCCATCGAGGTGTTCCAACACAAACATCAGGAGGAGGTATTCCAGTATGAGCAATGCAACAAGTGTGCAATAAAGCGCGAAGGGGGACTGCTCTATCAAAATCACAAAGCTTAACAATGGGAACTCCATCAAATTTTTCGTCAAAATCTATCAAAATATTTTCACTTTTGATGTCACGATGAATGATGTGTTTTGAATGCAGCTCTACCAAAGCACTTGCAACATCTCGAGCTACATGCAATGCCAGATCCATTGGAATGTGCTTTTTCCCAGCTTTGTACAACTTGTCCATGTAGCTCTATAACATACAAAATAAAATGTGCTATGAGAAAAACTATCACCGATATAAACATGGTAACACAACAAGCTAGAAGACTGTTTACCTTCAAAGATCCTCCCTTTACATGCTCTAAAAAAATTGCAGAACGAAGTAACCGATGGTTTGGTTTTCCATTCTCAGAAGGAACCCATTCAGAGGATATCTGATGTCCGTACATCTGTACTATGCAGGAGTGTTTCAAAGCACCCAGAATTCTAACTTCACCTAAGCAACTGTACTCAAAGTTCCTTATCTCATCAAATGAAGATTCACAAACTTCAAGCGTCCGTGACTGCAATATTCAACATGATAGGTGTGTACCCTTTACTAAAGGTTTCTAAGTAAAAATTACAAACAACGATACAACACACAGCATAGCAAAAAATTAATTAAAATAATAGCTCAAATCAGTACCACATAATTTAAAGATAAACAAGACTTTTCACTGGCCTACAACATTACCTTTGCTGCAGCCTCAACTGATCCGACTTTGCACTTCATAACAGAACTAGAAGGTGACTTCTCAATCTCATCACAATCGGAAAGAGAAGGAAAAGTAAACCCCGGACTTCCAAAAGAAATAGGAAGTTCAGCACGACTGAGAGGGATGTACCTATCACAACAGACAAAAGGTGAAAAAAATTCCAGATTATGGTACTGAGTCAAAGATGTGTAATAAAGATAAAAACAAGTACCATACAGAACAGTGCCAAAAATAACACATGAATCTACATTCTCATTAAAAAAAAGAAGAAGCAAACGCACAAGGACACTGGATGTTCAGAATCAATCATCAAACAGGCATCTTTAATTGGACAAAATTCAACGCCATTAGAACTGACAAGAGAAACCTACCTGCAAAAATACTCGGGGTCTGCTTCGTCTCGTATATCATTGGGACGACATGCATCAACAACCATTCGAACCAAAGAATTACCTCTTTTCACTAAGATCACATTCCAGGCATGAGGCATGAAATCCAGGTAGCCTCTCACAAGCTCGCAAGGCAGTGGAGGCTCCATGCGATCGCACAAATACTGAAGTAATGAAAGCTTTGTTAAGTCCGAGTAGATAAAATCAATTATAATAGAAAGACCCAACAACAACGAATATTGAAAGGTTATTGCAATAACATACTCACCTTAAGAAGCACCGCTCTATGTCTGCACACACCAAACTGCAGAGCTCCTAAAGGAACTACGATGGAATTTCGACTGGCTTTAATAGCACGAAGAGACCTCTCACAGATATCAGTAAATAGAATATCCTCATAATTATCCACCATTAATTTGGTGGAAACAGCAACATTATCCCGATCTCCAGTTGAGCAGGTGCAGACAAAAGGCTTCTGGTACTTTGAGCCAGAGACAGCTTTCCGTGTTTTCTCAACCATCGCACTTCTATCACTGCCTCCAAAATGATCAGATACAAATAAAGCAAGTAATTGTGCAATATGCACATCATCAAGAACTTGATGTCTATCGTGGGTTATGTGGTTAATCTGCTTTAGACGGAGCATCAATGACTTAGCAGATATTGCTATAGAGTCTAATACTTCATCGTGTTCCCTGGAGGCACATACAAATAATCAGTATTATTTTCAAGCCCCCAGTATGAAAATCATTGGAACTCATGTTACTCAGTAAATAATCAAAATAACCAATATAATTTCTTAACTGATCTACCTGTTGAGAAGAATGACTTCACGTGAATCAAGATGGAAATTTTGCTCATAATTCCTTAATGGCATGAAGGGACGATCACGCCCTGCATCATAAAATCCATCAGGTAGATGATCCTCAATGCTGCAAAATGAAATACTATTGTACTTGCAAGATAAACTTGAGCTATCTTCAGCTGGCTTTCTTGACTTGCAAGGTTTAGGATTGTCAAGTTCCCTCTCAGAATATCTTTTCAACTTAGCCATATCCTTTGATAATTGGGGAGATGACCCTTCCTGCTCATGTGCTCCATTTCCTGCTGAGGACAAAGACTCGCTAGGCTCACAACATTCATTTTTGCCACTTGTCATTATTTCTGAAGCAGCATCACAGATACTTGAGCAATCCTCAGAATATTCCTTTTTGGGATCAAAATTTTCGTTCTCGCAGCTCTTGATAAGATTTTCCCTTTCAGCTTCTCCAGAACATATTTCTTTACTATCGTATAACTCCTCAATAACTGATGAACTTTCAACTCTAGTTTCAGAAGTAGGAGAAGAATCTAGCCTCCCCAGTTCGTGGTTTTCATGGATCTTCACTTCAGTATGATGATCTACTCCTCTCCACTTCCTGCTGCTGTTCAAACGCTCTTGGCGAGCTTTCTGTTGTAAATAATGCCTTCTCCGCCATCGCTTACCTGATCTTCGAGATGCAAAAGATCTACTATTTGTTGAAGATCCCATTAATAGGTTCGACGAAAGATTACGAGTACCTGCAAAGATAAAGTTTTGGAACAATGAAAATCATAGAACCAAAATGACAACTCCACATTCAACCATTTGGCATAAAATTTCGACAGCACACACCTTTATGGGAGAATTTACCATCACTGTCTTGAGTGGTGGCTTCATAAACATCCATTTCAACTGTAGAACTAATCCAGTCTTCATTAGCTCTATCATCTTCACAATTTCCTTCAAAATTGCAGCATATCCAGGAGGGTATCTGACAGCTTCTTAGAAACTTATTGTACTACACCACAGAGAAAAGCATAGCAAAAACTAAATTTAAGAAGAAGAAAAACATTATGATAGTTCCTATTCGACATAGGAAAGTGCATGGTAAAATTTAGTGAACAGGAACTCACTCTGAAAAACATTGGATTGGTCAGAAAGATTACTATTACCGACTTCCCAAAGAAACTACGTAAATATACATAAAACAGAATCAATAGACAAATACCTGTAAATTTAAGCTTTTAAGGCTATGCATAGATACAAGTTCAAGAGACCCCAATGATGTTAACCTATTACTTGATAGGTCCAAGTTCTCCAACTTTTGCAGAGAGGACAGAGCTGGAGGTAGTTCCACCAATTTGTTATTGGCAACTCTCAATGATATCAAGGCACTCAAATAGCCTATTTCTGCTGGAAGCCTCTTCATCTTATTAAATGAGAGATCTAGATATTCCAAACTATCCAGGCAGCCAATTTCAGGAGGTAGAAATCTGAAGGAAAAGGTAAGACAACATAGATACCTTGTTAAAAATAAAAAGTAAGAAACTTAGAATTCTAGGATGAGTAATGGTTACGGCCTCGCACTAAAGCTCCAAGTTCACATCACAAAACATCATACCATACCACCGGTCTACATAAGTGATTTTATGCAGCATTACATCACAATAAGTAATTTTGCGTCCAACGTTGGTGCCAGAGTTGCATGTCTAGCAGAAATTTCAGTTAAACCAAAAAAAACTGGTTCATATTAACACTTCTAAGACATTAACTATAGAAAAATTGACACTTCCCAAAGTGATATACATGTATGTGCACTAGAACACAAGCTACAAAATTACATAATTTATCATTTAAAATGATTGCCTACAGCAACAATTGAGAAGAGATTCTAGTTTTGGATTCCAACATCACCTAATGGAAGAGCCCACAAGTAATATTTTAAAAGAAACTAAAGAGAGACCATGAGGCTGAAGTCTTGCTGTTGTTCATACTTGCTACTAACATTTTATGGGTTCTGTTATTTGAAATGAGTGGAATGATTCCAGATAAAGAGATGGGTCTATCACACAGATTTGGCACTGTTTTAGGAACCATATAGTCTTGCACTATGACTTGAGAATCTAGGGAGCAGATCCTATTTTTACATAAGGGAGATGGTTAAGAATGTAAAATCAAGTCATAAGATACTATCTTTACTCTCCATGTATAAAAAATAACCCATCCCCATTTATCAAAATTAGAAAATAAAATCATTGGGTTGTTCAAAAGAGAAATAACACTTTAACATTTGTTCAGTTCATCTATTTCTAAAACATCCAACTGACAATAACACGTAATGTTAAAAACAGATAAAAATCCAACAATCTAACTCGTTTCATCATTTTCTTGTTGAGTTGAATATAAAAGATTAGTTAGTTATTCTCCTATTCGACAACCAAGGATATAAATGAGGCTCACTCACCTAATAGAAAAGTGACAAACAGAGAGCTTCGTCAAGCACTTAAGGCCAACAATCTCACTGAGAATTGGAAACGAGGAAGGTTTAGGAGGCATCTTAGATAGCTCGAGCTCCTTCAGACCCTTCAATTTGTGTAATGACAGACCACCAAAAGCCGGTGATGATAATTTCACCTGCAAGCATTCCAACCCCACGAAGTTCTTCAACTCTGGTGGAAACAAGTTAATCTCATTCCCGAAGAACTTCAGCATCCTCAATTCTCTGAAGTCGCCAACTGATTTGGGAATCAAATTGAACGCATTCCGGAATATGTAGAGACCCTTCACTGAGCTGTTGGAGCCTTCCAAGAAAGGGGAGTCCAAGTATCTCCCGGAGACATCAAGAACCGAATCATCATCATCGTTACTAATATCATCGTCAAACGAAGCCAGCTTAGACGATTTCAAATTTCTTGCCTCCACAAGGCTGCTTTCCGAGGAGTCGGCGACCGTTTCTTCAGAGTTAAGAAGCTGCATTGAGGGTGAGATTAGCCGACAGGAGAGAATTGCTGAGAATTTGAAGTATTGAGGGCTTTAGGGCAGGTATCAAAGAATCTGGAAAAAAGATTTCTGCGCAAGGCAAAAGAATTTGAAGCGTACAGCATGGGAATTAGAGGTGAGAAGAGCAAAAATTGAGTTAAAGAGAGGGATAATTCAAAGAAATGAAAGAAGGAGCGGGAGGAGATGGCCCGGAAGAGGTCCGCTCCTGGTCAATAAGTTAAGAAGAGAAACCCTAGAATCCAGTGAGACAGTGGAAAAAGAAAACGTTATAACGGGACGGGATCGAGGAGCGAGAATTGAATAATTGATTAAGTTGGACTGTTGTGGTATACGTTTTGGTTTTGAGCACTCCTTCTCTCCAACACGATCGTTTTATTTTAAAATTTTAGATTTTTTCGAATGTCCATTTTCAATTAAGGGTTTTTGTTTTTTTATTTTTAAATATATATTTTTCAATAATATCATAATTTACTTTTTGGTTTCAATATAACTTTAAATTAGTGTATTTTACCTGAGTTTGACTTTGATCTTATGATTTTTTTTGTAAAATTTTAAACGTTAAGCTATGTTTTAAAATATTTTTTTTTCATTGTGCTGGTAAAATTTTATAGATTTGGCGATATTTGAAATTTTATGTTATTTATGTTAGTGTCTCTATTTTATTTATCTACTTTTATATTTTATTTATTTTTTTGAATCTCAATTTTATAAATATTGTCACTTTGGATTTCGATTGACCCATCAATATGGTGGAGAGTAGGATGTAGGACCATATCAGTCAATCTATAATTGGTATAAAGTATTTTTATAAATTTTAAATTTACTTTTGACCACATCACAAATACTTTTATTTAAAAAATAATAACTAGTTAAGGTATCATTAAAATAAAAACAAAATAACTAAATTTATGTTAAATAATATTTTGATAACTTGTTCAACAAGTATCATTAGAAAACTTATGGCTAAAAAATTTTGTCACTGTATTGTTTAAGGCTAAAATGTAGCAAAATTATAGCTACTGAATGATACACTTTGTCAAAGGATAAGATGTAGCATATTTGTGACCATAATTTTTTTTTATGGTGAGTTAAAAGTGTGAAGCTTAGTTATATAAAAATGGATGACATTTTCTGGGGAGAGATTTTGTTATCAATAATGGAGAAAATTTGTAACTCTTATTTTTATTTAGTGGAATTATTTTATTATTGTTTAGGGTTTTTTTTTTCGGGGATTTGTAATGGGTAGTATATAAGTTTTCTATATTTAACAAAATAGGCATGTCTTTTTTATATTTTCAGATATAGCATTTTTTTGAAAATCCTGATTTTAAAATTTTCAGTATTCCCAAATTACCCTTTTCAGTTATCGCTTCGTTATTATATATCAAACATATATCACATATATATCAGGAGTATATCTGACAACATTAATATATCAGAAGTAAATCAATAGTATATCAAAAGTCAATCAGTTCTATATCAATTGTATAATAGTAAATCACTATTTTACCTGCTTTAATCCTTTGTCTTGTATTTTTTTTTATCAATAAGAAATTAGTAGGTATTGGCATGCATGGAAAATGAGAAAAAAATTTGTATACTTACTGAAAGTGATAAAGAAAACTTGAAATGAACGTTAATGTGAACGTCAATGGTGATTTTCGAAATTACTGTGAATGAGAAATCAATTAGAAATTAGAGGTAAATAGAAACTTAGGGTTTTTCTGTATATCAATAATATATCAGTGATATATCAAGTATACATTGTACATATATCGATAGTCAATTAAGTTTTATTTAAAGTTTTAAATATCAACATGAAAGCAGCAACAATGTCATTCTTAAAATGTTTAAATATCATTCTTGGGTATCAACATCAACATCAAATCAGCAGCAAAGTCTTTCAACCAAAAACTTAAAGGTTTAAACATTAAAACGAACCAGTAGCATAAACCAAAAGTAGACTAACAATGTCATTTTTAAAATTCTATAAAAAAGAAGCATAAGTTCCAATAATCTAGAAAAGCGTAAGTTTCATTCTTGTATAATCTTTAGGTAAAAGCTTGAGACATCAATCTTCGTTCTAGGTGATTGTCGTGTTTTCGGAGATACTATCTTTGAAGTTTTCCGTTTTTCCATAGGCAACACTTTTGGTGTTGGTTTATGTTGTCTTTTGAGACGAATGACATCAACATTTTCGACGATGTTTTTTTATTTCATTTTTCATGTTTGTACCATTGCTTTTATTTGAAAAAAAATTATTTCATATATTAGTATATCATAAAACATATATTAGAGGTAATATGTTCAAAATAATTGGTAGATATCATATTTATATAAGAAGTAAATCAATTTGATATCATATGTATATCAAACATATATCACATATATATCAAGAGTATATATGTTAATCATAGTTATATCAGAAGTAAATCAATAGTATATAAGAAGTCAATCAGTTCTATATCACTCATGATATCAGAAGTAAATCAATTTCATAACATATGTATATCAAACATATATCACATATATATGAGGAGTATATATGTCAATCATAGGTTATATCAAAAGTAAATCAATTAATCAATAGTATATCAAAAGTCAATCAGTTCTATATCACCTATAATAGTATATATCATAGTTATATCAGAAGTAAATCAATTTCATATCAAATATATATGAAACATATATCACATATATATCAGGAGTATATCTGTCAATCATAGTTATATCAGAAATATATTTGTCAATCATAGTTATATCAGGAGTATATCTGTCAATCATAGTTATATCATAAGTAAATCAATAGTATATCAGAAGTCAATCAATTATATGTCACCTATAGTAGTAGATATCATAGTTATATCAGAAGTAAATCAATTTCATACCATATGTATATCAAACATATATCACATATATATCAGGAGTATATCTGTCTTAGTATATCACAAGTCAATCAGGAGTAATTTATTGTTGGTTCGGGCCTGCAGGGTATATTTGTAATTTATAACGTGGGCCTCCGTTTTTTTGCCAAAAAAATGCTATATTTGAAAAACCCAAACTTGTTGCTATTTTGCTTATTTTCCTAACTTTTTTTTGCCATATTTCAAGTTGCCCTTTTTTTTTCTGATTCATCTAGGAGTTTTCCATGTGAATTCACTGTATCCTATTATTTTCCTTATTTTTATCTGTTATTACTTCTATTTTAGTTGTGTCAACTTCACCCTAATTCAACTGGTTAAGACATATATCTCCAATTAAGAAGTCGTGATCGAATTTCCACCGCACATATGTAGTAAAAAATATCTATTATAGCTATGATCTCACTCTATCGAGTCTCAATCCTCAACGCAACGATTAAGGTAAACTAAGTTATTCTTCGATTCGTCTCTCAGGAGTGCCCAAATAAATTTATTTAAATTCTGTAGAAGAAGTTATATGCAAATTATAAGGTATGTACTGAAAAATGTTGAATGTGTTCTGTCCGATTGATTATTACTTATTAGTCTAGCAGTGGAAAGTCAATTTTATCCACCCAGACAGTAAAATCAGGAGCGCCCAAATAAATTCGGGAGCGTGCTCTCAGGTGGTGGGAGATCTCCTAAATACCCATCCAAGTAAACACGCTTTTGCAAATGGAGGTCGGGTCGTGTTAAATCAAAACGCACAATTTCACCGCCGTTTATGCGGCTGAATACGACCTCCGTTTCGCCCGATTCCCGCCTTATAAATTCGGTCGTTCGCTGCCAATTTCATTTCATTTCTTTTTCTGAATTTCGCGCCACCTTCCTCCGTTTCGTCCTTCAGCAGGAAACGGTTCTACTCTGACTTAGGCACCTTCAATTCAACCAACAACAATGCTCGCAACGCTTAAGTGAGTTTGAGATGATATCATTCTCGTTATCTTTTTTGAAATCCTGCCAAATTACTTTGGAATCATTTCGTCAAATTCTCTCTCATTATCCATCACTGATGTTGCTTCAGAGCGGAAGAACAAAGCCAACAACTACAGCTCGTTGAGCGCGAAGATATCGAGGATGAAGACGACTTGTTCGAAGCGATTGATAAACGTATGTTTCAGAGCTTTTAACTAATAACTAAGTTATCGTTTTGCTATTCAAAGAATTTCCTCGACGACGCTTGTTTCGCGAACTCAAACAGAACTTGATTTCATGACGTGGTGTGTTTAAGTGATTCGATAGTTGTCCGTGGAGTTTGATACGCAGAACTCCAATGTTGATCAATTTTCTTTTCCAGAAGAGAAATGAGATCACCTACCTTACTTTTCTAATGATTCGTTCATTCTCGAGATAGCTCGGCAGCTTTATTTTGTAATTGATTCACGATAGCAATGGCATCCGATTTAGCTATGTTTTATATATTATCGTTATCTATTTTCTTAAGACATGCAATTCTATGAGAGTTTTGCTAAATTCACCGAGGAAGTAGCACTAGTTTTAGCCACTTCACTGACGATCATATCGTTTCACTATCTCCGAAACTGTGGCATTGTTCTGTGCAGTGACTTCTCATGGAATCAATGCTGGAGACGTGAAGAAGCTTCAGGACGCAGGGATCTACACGTGCAACGGTTTGATGATGCATACGAAGAAGGTAGAACAATTTTCACGTCAAATTCTATATATCCTGAATCTGATATGGTTATAGTGACAAGGATTTTGTATGTTAGCACTTGACCGGGATAAAAGGTTTATCTGAGGCAAAGGTTGACAAGATCTGTGAAGCTGCCGAAAAGCTAGTGGTCAGTCACCACTTCTATTATCCACGATGCGTTGAATTTCTTACACGATGCCATAATGCCAGACGTTTATGCTTTTCGTCAATTTACAATTATTACTTCTCTGTCGCTTTTCAGAATTTTGGTTATATCACTGGAAGCGATGCTCTGCTCAAGGTAAGTTGCTTCTGTTTTTTATTAGTAACAAAATGGAGTGCTTATTTCGAACCACATAGATCCATAGCTCACCAGAAAGTGTAGTTTGCATCGTCTCCTTTTTTCTGTTTTCGTTTTTTTTTTAGTTTTTTCCGCTTGCTATAAGTAGCTCGTATGAGTTCAATATATATTTTAGCAACCTACTGCCTGTCGTGAAATGCAGACTTACCGTGATTTTTGTTTGTAGAGAAAGTCTGTGGTTCGCATTACGACTGGAAGCCAGGCTCTCGATGAACTCTTAGGAGGCAAGTCCTGCTTTACGACATTATTTTTTTCACTGTCGCACGAATTATAAGCACTAAAGGAAATTTCTGTTTCTAATTCCTACCAAAAGGTGGTATTGAAACTCTAGCGATTACGGAAGCTTTTGGAGAATTTAGGTGAGGATGTATATGTTACAGTTACTTCCATTTTGTTTATTGAAAATCGAAGTCCTTCCGTAATTAATTTCCATGGTTCTCCTCTGACTTCGTTAAACGAATGCCTAGGTCCGGGAAAACGCAACTTGCGCATACTCTGTGCGTCTCTACGCAGGTTCATCTAAAGTTTCATTTGGTCGTTTACTGGGGTGTAACTTAGTCTTGATCTTTTTTTCGGTTCTCAGGTCGAAGACATTATAGTTATTAATAGAAATCGTTTTTACATCGTCAAAATCTAACTTGTACCTTTCACTCTCCTGCACCTACTATAAAGCTTACTCTTATTATTTTCCAGCGAAATTTAAGCGCTCATAGATGTTTATGGTATTAAAATTGAGATTGCATTTCAGAAGAGCTGGAAGTATTTAATTGTTGTTAGGCTTTACATCTGATCCTTAGGATTGAACACGGCTTATCTAATGCTATATTTCGTTACACATGCATTGAAAGAAAATTTAGGTTTAGCTCGTCTTTCTTATAAACCTCATAGCTACCGAGCGTTTCTTAAACTGCCTCAATCTGGTGGCATCTGAGTAATTGTGCTTGGCGCTTGCCTTCGCAGCTTCCTACCCACATGCGGGGAGGGAATGGAAAGGTTGCATACATCGACACTGAAGGAACTTTGTATCCTTTTTTGAAGCTTTTGTTAATTTACTTTTCATTTTTAAAATTACTGTCACGTATAATGAAATGATATTATTATCTTCGGAGATGCTCCCCTTCTCAATATGTCCTCTCCTTAACTACATGCACTTGCAGCCGACCTGATCGAATTGTGCCTATAGCTGAAAGATTTGGCATGGACCCGGGAGCTGTACTTGACAATGTGAGCGCCACTATTTTGTATTGTAGCTTATACTTCCGACCAAAACTACCGGTTACAAATCTTTCATTAACATGCTGCTAATGAAATAGATCATATATGCTCGCGCCTACACTTATGAACATCAACATAACCTCCTGCTAGGCCTTGCCGCAAAAATGTCTGAAGAACCATTTAAACTTCTGGTGAGTCACCAGGAAACCTGTGACTCAAACGTACAAAATTGTGTCTGACGTACATTCGATCTCCTAATTTCAGATTGTTGACTCTATCATTGCTCTTTTTCGAGTGGATTTTACCGGAAGAGGAGAACTTGCAGAGCGCCAGGTCGAATCAAATAGAACTTTAGACAATCTTCAGAATTTGATTTCCCTAGCTAAGTATAATTTCTTGCTTAGTTTCATCATTGATGACACAAGCTAGTTTTCACATGCAGCAAAAACTGGCGCAGATGCTGTCCCGATTAACTAAAATTGCAGAGGAGTTTAATGTAGCAGTTTACATGACTAACCAAGGTAGACATTGAACTTCATGGGAATGGCTTCCCCTGTTTCATCTGATCGTTTATCTCATTCAGAAAAACCATGGCCAGATTAAATGTTAACTCAATTCACCGCCTGAATTTTCTAACCTTGTTATTTCTCGTATTAGCATAATAGACTCTGACCGAACTCGTTTGCTGTGAGAACACTAAACTGATGTTTAATCATTCAAAATGCTAGCTACTGAACGCAATCGAATTGTTCACAACAGTGGTTGCAGACCCAGGTGGAGGAGTGTTCGTATCAGACCCCAAAAAACCAGCAGGAGGCCACGTTCTTGCTCATGCTGCTACGGTAAGATTGATGTTCAGAAAAGGCAAAGGCGAACAACGCATCTGTAAGGTGTTCGATGCCCCTAATTTGCCAGAGTCTGAAGCTATATCCTTACCTCATTTCACATCACACTTTACACCTTCATTCATTATTTTCTGGTTAGTATAAACATCAATCCCACTGATCTCAACGATTTCGAAATCATCAAACTATGATGTAACCAGATATTCTACATTTCACCTCACTCATGATCCACACCAACATTGCACCTAACAATTATTGTAGAGAAAACAGAAAAGAAGGCTACCATTATCACACAAATTTTTCTTGACGGAAGCACGTATTTCAGATAACACCAGGGGGCATTGCAGATGCAAAGGACTGATGTCTCTTGCGATGGCAGAATAACAGATGCAGCACAGGTTTAAGTGTTTAATTTTTCATCTAGTTACTAGATACGTATTTTTAACGTGGTAGTGAAGTGACAAACATGTAGGGCGTCCATGTGTACAAGTGTACATTGTAACTTTTAGCAGCCCATAACGTTTTTAGCTACCCCATTGGAAAATATAATGAAAAGAGCATATTCTCCTAATCACAAACAGAATGAATATTAAATCGCAGCTGTAGCTGTACTAGGATAACGCCAAATATGCCGTTGGAAAGGAGCCACTTTATTGGCATAAACCCAAAACTAGAGCAAAATTCTGTTACGATCAATGCCCTTCAACCATTATGAACACAAATAGAGCCAATTTCTAGAAAAGGTCATGACAGAGAGGCAACCCCAAAAGCAAATAAAAATATGTCTAAAAGCATTTAGAAACAAACTATTATTCCACGTATCCAGAATGTAATTCAGTGGAGCCAGCAAGATTCATAACTTGTAAGTTATAACTGCATGAACATGCCCATTACGGAAAGTAAAGTATAAACCTCAGTACCCATTTTCAAGGGCACAGTCAGGGAATAAAATATGGAAAGAAGCCGAAGGAAAGGCAAAGGCAAAGTAATCAAAGCCTTGCCAAATTGTGCACTCAGTAGTTTGAAGACCAATTTGCAGCACTCCCAACTCTAGGCATGCCAGAACTTTCCTTTCGAGCCTCTTCATCCACCTTGAAATTGGCTCCACAAACATGACCTGAACTGTCCACCCTTGGCACTGGCTTCAGCTCATTAAGTGGATGCTCAAAACTCCTCAACCCACCCGAGGTTGTGAAGAAGCAACCTAAAGCACCAAACGTAGTGCAGAAATATAAATGAACAAACCAAAGAAACAAGTATCTAGAACTAGTTGTATTTTACTTATTTCAGAAACAGGCAATCCCACAAGGTATGCAAGCTATAACATCAATGAACCAATTCTCAAATTTGAAGACAACGAATTAGAAAGGGAGCAAAACTTTTTATTCGTGACATAGCAATTCGATTAGAAGTTTTACCTTTGGGGAAAGGAGCAAAAGATTTTCCACAACCCTTCTTCATAGTTTCTATATCATCTGAGAGAACAAGATGTCCTTCAGAATCACTTCCCCAGTGGAGAGGAACGCTCCCATCGGCATCCTGCAGATAAAAAGAAAAGACACCATAATGGAAAAAAAAAGCTAACATAAACAACAATAACAGAAATCTGCAGCAGTCATGGTTAACCTAAGGGATCAGGGCAACTTACAGAAGCGAAAAATGCGGTTTTTGAGGAACTGTCGTATAGAACAAACACGAATTTCCCTTGAATGTCTCTCACAACCTGATCAGCAGGGTATGGACCCCGATCTCTTAATGTTCGATAGGCTTCTATAACGATGATAACCTCGTTTGCAGCTTTGTTCAAACCATATTGTTGCTTCAGCTGCGCAACATTCTCAATGTGCCCTTGGAACAAGCAGAAAATGTCGTCCACAACCGCAAATAATCTAAGGTCATAAAGGCAAAGTTCGTCAATTTACCAACAGCAGGCAAATATAACCAAATGCTCATGAAATAGAGCTACCAAAAATTGCAGCCGTAAAATCCCCAGCTTTCTTACCAATGATTCAACACAAATCTCACAATTTAAGTTGATCATATAAAACAAGAGTACAATCATTTAGAATCAGACGAGTACTAAATCGTCGATCTCGAAAGATTTGATCGTCCACAGTTCCGATCGAGTCAACATGGAAAAACTCGAGAAAAAAAAATGGCAGAATGGCCTCAAAGAGTACAAGCATTTCCCATCAAAACCTAATCTCCACAAAACAGAAAATATGATTCTGTTGAATTTAAACAGATTCTCAGCAATCAGAACGAAACACCCGATAGAAGAGACGATCAGTAGACAGTAAGTAAGCACGATCGTCGATCAGATCCAGAACAAATCAAACACAGCAAATTTTAGTCGAAAGAGACATAGCAGTATAAGAGAGAACAAAAGCGGAGTACCTCGGGAGGAGAGGGTTTTGCTTTTCAACGGAGTAGGCCAAGAGACCGGCGGAGCCGAGGTTGACGATGACGGAGGCAGGGTAGAGAGAGCCGAAATGCCGACCGAGAATCCCATCTTTGAGAGCCCAAACGGAATCGGAGTGCGGGCTCTGCAGAGCTTCGGGAGTCTTCGCCACCGATTTGTCGAACACGGCGAGCATTTTTTTTTTTTTATTTTAAAATTTTCAATATATTGTCGATCGGAAAATGAGAGAACTCAGACACACGCTTGATTTTGCTTCTTCCCTTTGTGAACGCAGAAATAGCAGCTGATGAAAGATCGCATGCGGTTGGAGGAGGAGATACTTCAAAATAAATAAAAATAATAAGGTCAGTCAAATTTCCACTATTGCCCCTCTTCTTTTATCTAATTTTCATAATTTACATACCAGGCCACCCACAGATTTATGAAGACATCAGACTAATTTTTTAAGAAAAAAATGACAAAAGCATTTATTCTATTTCTTTCCTACTTTTAGCATCGCTTTATATCTATATAAGATGCTTTTAGTTTTTTTTTTTCATCCAAAATTTTCTAGCTCGGAATCTTTACGCATCGGTATCATAATTGAATAAATAAACAAATAAATGTTTAAATTTCTTTGTTCCTCAACTTTCAAGATATTTCTTTTTGTTATGACCTAACTTTCAAAATTTTTTTAATTTTTTTTCTTTGTATAAAAAAATGTTTTGAATTTTTAAATATAATTATTTTACTATTAGTTATTTAATATATATATATATATATATATATAAAAGTTAATATGTATTGGTGTATTAATTTGTACATATATTAAAGACAATATTAAATTAGTGAAACGATTATTCAATCAAGTAGATATTAAATAGTGGAATAATAGCTAACCTGAACATAATTCAACTAATCAAAATATTTATCTTCAACTAAAATATCATGGATATAAATTCCTATTTCTACTTATTGTACTCAACAAAATAGTTGAATAATAGGAAGGACCAAAAGTATTATTTTAGAAGTCAAAGAATCTGAATGATAATTTATTTATAATTTAAATATTAAGATAAATATTTTAAACCTTCATGAATGATTTAAACAAATTTTAAAAACCCCTCCAATTTGTCATGTTTTTATTTCCTAGTCTCTAAATCTTAACCCAATTTTTTTAACCGACAAACTTTAACTTTGGTTAAGACATAAACATCAATTAAAAGATTAGAGGTTTGAAACTTCACCACATTGAATTAAAAATTAATTTTACAATAGCGATAATTTAAATAAATAGATTTAACCATACAAATAAATTATAAATTATAAATTATAAATTATAAAAGGACTGAATAGATATAATTAAAGGAAAGTTTAATGTCCAAATTTGTAATTTAACCTGAAAAAATATATTCACGGTAAAATTTATCCAGTAATTTCGTTGAAGCTGCGGATTGGAGTGGTAATAAAGAATTATGTAGGGTAATAAAGAACAGAAGTTTGTGTTAAAAATTAAAAAATAAAATATATGGTTTGGTACATTGAATATTGGTGGAATCTGAAGCTTATCCATTCCCAATAAGCTAACGTGGCATGATGACGTGTTAGCAGTTCGATCAGAATATTCAGATTAATCAAATAATAAATAATTAACTTTTTTTTTTTTGGATGTGATTTTGCTTGGAAGGTGGAGAAATTTTGGGGAAAGGGATGGGAGGGAACCCTTTCTTAATTATTAGTATTATTTTTTAAAAAAAAATAATTTTCAGTCAACCAATTTGGAAATATGAGCAAGCAACACGTGGATGGTATAGTTTTTTTTTATGTTGCACCGTCCTCAGCTTATCCAGAACCTTGTTTTCTGTCTCTAAATCAGTCCGAAATTTTGAATTTTTAAGTTATTTTTCTCATGCTTGGATTGGATTCTACGGTCGTTTTTGTTTCTTTTTTATTTATTTTTATTTTCACTATTTTTACATGTTGGGTGGTTTTAAAAACAAAAATTATGAAGGAATTTAATTCGAAATAAGTCAAAGTTTAAAGTAAATGTTTTATATGAAGATATTATTTGCTAATTTTTTTTTAGCAACACAGTTATATAATCAATTAAAAACATAATTTGGAATACACAATCATTTTAAATGAATGGGTCTATCTTAATTTGTAATTTCGAAAGATTCTGTTTCAATCCTTAAATTTTTAAAAAATAATTGCTTTCATCTCTTATTTTATTTTTTTAATCTCATTTTTATATCATATTTCAACACACTATACTCAATATATTCCTTGAAATCTAGTCATAACTTTATATGAAAGAGTTTCGATTATATATAAAATTTATGTTAGAATTTTTCAAATAGGACTAAAATGTAACTTTTTACAGATACACCAACCAAAACAAATATTTTGAAAGTACATAAAATAAAATAAATCAAAGTTAAAAAGTACATGAATTAAAACAAAATAAATATTTTAAAAATAGAAAAACGAAAATGAACCAAAACAAAGTACTAAAATAGTCTTTTAACTTGAGAATTGATTTACTTGAATAAATCTATTTCATTTTTGAAAGTACGTTACTTATGGGGGAAAAAAATCCAACCGACAATCAACTTGGTTTTTTTGTAATTTTAAAATAAAAAACATTTTGGTATATTTGATTTTGAACAACTTGATTAATTAAAGAATTATCTACTTAATATTTTTTCATTGACCTGGTTTTTTGGTTAATAACCCAATTGTACCCCTAGTTTCTGAATATACAATTATGCATCATCTTCGAACCACTTGTACAGTTCTGACAAATATAAAATTGGACCGATTGTTAAATAAATGAAAGAAATAGCAAAAACCTAATCACAGAAGTGCAAAAATAGTTAATATATAAACTAAAAATCAGATCATAATTTCAAATTTAAAAATGCAATATTTTTATACTATAAACAGACTGAGAGAAGTATTTTCCAAAAGAATTTATGACTATTTGAGGTGTGAATATTGTATCAAACAAAAATTAAAAGATCTGGGTAAATTAAGAGGACAGGAAATTTTCAAACCCCCAACCCAGATTCCAAATAAGCAACACACCTAAAAGTAGAGATGGTTTCGGTTTGTTGCTCACAACCGTAATACGGTATGATCGCACGGTTCGGTTTTGCGATCACACCTTATCATATGGCCGGATTTACTCAATTTGATGAGTTGCGTACTCGCTCTAGTTTCTGTATATAGACTCTCAACTTCTCATAACAAAAGAAGGGCAATGAGGATGGATGATTATCTATAGTCACAAACATACCTTCCCCAGAAGCATGGGGTAAATAACTAACTCTTCCCCAACTTCAAGAAGATGCTAACAAAGAACCCAACTTATTAAAATTAAAAGCTGTAGCATAGTCAAAAAAGTGAAGATTATATAATATACCAATGTAACTTTTTCAACATATGATTGTCTATAATTCATTTCTAAGGTTCCTGAAATCTAACAAACAGACAACAATGTTAAGAGACTAGGATGCTCACACCCGGTTATATCCAACCGACTTGCTGAAGAGCCGACGGATGTAAATGACCTGAAGGCCACTTACAACAGCAAGCAACAAATACTCTCCCACTGTGTAGAAAATTACACGCTTTCTTGTACTCTCATTTGCTGCATCAAAAGAAAACCGATGAATAAGTTTTTGGAAAATACTTCCTGTATACACTAGTGAACTCAAGATCTCGACAATGATGTAACAAAGAGATAGCAAAGAAAAAAAAAACAGAATAACAGGTAAATCAGACTTGAAGAACTCCTCGTGTGCTGTTGAATCACTAGTTAACAGGTTAGGATAAATTTAACATTTTCTCATTTCTCCCCTCATGTGTGGACTAAATATATTTTCATTTGATGATAAATCCTAACATGTGGGCTATTGACATGAAAGGGAGAATGATATCTCATATTCTCTTGATCAATTAAAATTTTAAATCACCGCTAGACTCAAAAGAGTTTACATTTGTAGGCTTAGTAAAAATATAACCAATTAACATGTGTCCAGAAAGAGTAACTGACATTGGAGAGAGGAGAAAAAGGTCCTATGTACAAAGTGTGTAGATTGGCGAGAAACTGTAAAAAGAGTTATGAAGTATATCAGGAGAGATCGTGATTACTTTTATCATTTTCTTTGGAGAATAGACCATCTCTCCTGATATACTTACTTTCACAATCTCTCCTCGTTTAGTACATCACTTTTCATCAATATCTTTATCTATAATCCAAAGACAATGATAAAAGAAATTACAATCTCTCCTGATATACTTAGCTTCACTGTTCTCTTTCTAATATATTATCTCCCTACTCCATAACAAAAAGCAAGATGGAGTGGGGGGAGAAGAAAATTATTAATTGAAACCAAAAGGAAAAACAAAATCATTGTCAAATATATTCTTTGTCCGAGCTTTACTGTGGACAATTTGGACAGAAAGAAATCAGCGAATTTTCCAATATAGGGAGCGCACACATCACCTCATTTTCGAATCTATAGTTTTTTTTGTTATCTCTTGGTGTAAATGCTCCCCTCTTTTCCATCATTACAGTTATGCCTCCCTCTTATCTAACTGGAGAGCCTTTTTGTAGCCCTATTCTTGGGCCTTTTGTTCTCATATTTCATATATCAATGAAATAGTTTCTTTATCCAAAATATATATATATATATATATATATATACTCTTTACGTACCATGGTTAACCAGTTCAGATAAAAGACCAGTATGGATAGTCTGTATTGTCTATACCTCTACATTAGGATATTGGACTAAAAACAAAAAAAGAAGTGTACTTTCTTAAACAATTTCATGACGTATAACGCTAGTGGACAATTGTAGAAGCCAAGTTAAATTAATAAATTCAGTTAGTGGTTTGCACATTAGATCCTACATGCATTATTAACCTATCATATGTCAAAATTCCCATGCATAGACATCGAGATCTGATTGTATCCATGATAGTTTATGTTGAGTTGTCTTAGAAGAAAGATTTCCATCTTGAGCCAAAGAGTTGATATCACATTAGCTAGCAAGAATTCCATGAAACGGCATAAATAAACGAATTTAAGAAAACAAAAACCATGCACAAGAATAAACCACATACTGTGACGGTGGCGTGTATCACGTGCTTTCAAATATTTCTGCTCGGCAGTGACCGACTCCAATGCCTCTCTAAGCTCGGCAATTTTAACATTTATTGGGTCTAGGTGTTCTGCAAGAAACAACCACAACGAAGTGAGAGATCAGAAACGTGTTGAATTATCATAGCAACCAAGACCTGGAAACACACTAAGTGTAACATTTATATAAGTTAGTCAATTACCATCCTTGGCAAGGTCATGTTCGTTTGGAATATGACCAACATGTATGTGGAAAGAAACGGTCTCCGGAGTCGAGTAGGGATTGTGAAAACAAAATTTATACATTCCACTGCGAGGAGCCTTAAACTCAAACTTGTCACCAGATGTCTCCTTCAAAGAGTGTACCACATTACCTGCGGGGGATGTAACCTGCACGTAAAATAACCCAGATTAGGTTGTCTCCGAACGAACATTTTATTATGAACACGTAACCATCAGACACTAGATAAAAAATTCCAACAAGAGATACAGGATACCCAAATATCCAGCCAACCATAACCAAAGAAAAAACACATCTAGATTCATATGGATTAAAAGAAGAAATGGAATTGCATCTAATATACTTTCCTAAACCTTGTTTCCACCACCACTTTAGGACCCTTTGTGATGAGTCCCTCCATGATTAAACCGGAGAAATTGAGGTGCAATAAGCGATTTATGACTCGTAGGAAAAAAGCAAGAGATCGTCAATTAGAAAATGCCTGGCCAATTGAACCATAAATTCTCCAAAACAAAGAAAACTAAAATTGCAAAACATTATTGGAAGGTGAGACAAATAGAACGGTCAATGGATGTCAGGTGGCGACGGGTCCGAAGAGAGGATTATAATTGTCGACCCATTGATCATTCAGTTTAATAACGGTTCATCTCGCAGCTCGGAAGAGATAGAAATACAATTATCAATCTAAAATACCATCTCATACGAGCCCTATAGGTTCAATTAACAAACGGGCAAACATTTCCAGATCAACGAACAACCTTTTACCATTTTCTGTCTACACCAATTTCATAACGGAGAAGAAAATTTCCCAGAAAAATTAGAAA